AAGAAAAAGAAAACAACAGACCAATATCCCTTGTGAACAAAAATGGAAAATTCTAAACAAAATTTTAGCAGATTGAATCCATCAAAATGTTAAAAGCATAATACATCTTGACCAAGTGGTGTTTATCAGAGGAATGCAGGATTGGTTTAACATTCAAAAATTAATGTTATCTATCATATTAACAAACTGAAAAAGAAAAACCATATGATTCTCTTCATAGATGTGGAAAAAAATGGAAGTTTTCTCCTGTCAGAAATATACTTAACAGTACAGCATATATATTTATAAATGTACCATACATTGATGGGAACTACATGAAATAAAATGAATCAGAATTCTTGAATCTGTATGCTTACGGCAGTACTGTAAGTAGTAATATATCTATGTGTGAAGTTGCATATTTTATGTAACCTATATGTTGACATTAAAAAAATAATCATTCATTCAAATATGCTAAAAGACAGACTGAATATCTTTGTAGTCTCTCCATAGAAAACGTTATGAAACCAATGTCATATGAAATGCACTGTATTATAAAATACACAGAATATGCAGCCAATAAATGTAGGAAACAAAGATGTCAGGCAGCTTTTAATAATTAATTTAAAATTTGCTATTTTCTGGATTTTGCAATGTTTCTAGTATTTTATCATATTTTTCATTTGTAACTAGTTACGGTTTACTTTCTCATTCTAAATAAATATTCATTGCTATTAAAAAGAAGTTGAAATTTTTTTTCCAAATGCATAGAAGGGCCAGACAGGTATTAATGAGTCAAGGCAGACGTGGTAGGTATGGTACCAACATGAAAATCTAGGCCCCTGCATTTAGAGGGCAGCTGCTACTCAGCTCCAATGGAGGACTTCCACAATAACCAATGTTATCGTTTCCTTGTGTGCCTTTCGGATATTTTATGTACATACTTTTTCTCATTTTATATACAAATGAGAGACAGTGATACATATTGTTCTGTCCCTCTTTTTCTCTTGATATAAACTGAAGATTATTCCATATTAGCACATAAAGTGTTTCCTCTTTCTTTTCTTTTTTCTTTTTTTATAACTATATGGATATGACAACCCTTTATCTGATAATGGGTTAATATCCAAAATATATAAAGAATACATGCATCAATAGCAAGAAAACAAATAACCCAATTAAAAAATAGCCAAAGGACCAAGTAGACATTTTTCAGAAGACGACATACAAATGGCCAACAGGCATATGAAAAATATGTCAATATCACTAATCATCAGGGAAAGGGAAATTATTAATAAAACCATAATGAGATATCATCTCACACCTGTTAGAATGGCTATTGTCAAAAAGTCAAGCTGGATATAGTGGCTCACATCTGTAATCCCAGCACTTTGGGAGGCTGAGGTGGGAGTATTGCTTGAGGCCAGGAGTTCAAGTCTAGCCTCAGCTCGAGTGAGACCCTGTCTCTACAAAAAATAGAAA